TCTGACTTTCGAGTCACTTTATTACTTGACGACCACATATACTTGCGTGTGTGTTTGGTCGTAGCAAGTTTTTGGCGTCGTTGCCGGGGACTTAGTTATTGATTGTTCATTTATGTTAAGCTTTTATTCGTTATTTGTTCAAGTTTTATTTTTTAATTTGCCTTGTTTGTGATAACGCAGGCTCTTCTCTCGAATGCGGAGGAATAGAAGTGCAAACAATCTCCTTCATCTTGATCCTGAAATCGAAAGAACACTTCACAGAGTGAGGAGGGAAGTCGAAGCTAGAACTGGAATAGAAAGAGATTTGGACATCGTAGTTCAACCACAGTCAATAGAGATGGCAGGTAATGAAGAGCATCCGTTGATAGAAGTTGCAAGTCCAATCTTGCTAATATGACTCAGGCTATTGTGAAGCCTGCTATCTCTTATATCACGGGTCACTCTGAACTCAAACAGTACATGGTACAGCTGATTCAGTCCACCGGGCAGTACGTGGGTCTATCTCATGAAGATCTGCAGAGGCACATTCAAAACTTTTTGGAAATTACGGACACTTACAATTACCCGAACGTTTCTAAGGACTATGTCAAGCTGACACTGTTTCCCATTTCATTGCTGGAGGAAGCTAAGGAATGGTTGCAAAAGGAGCCCGCAAACTCAATCAACACTTGGGATGACGTAGCAAGGAAATTCTTAATCAAGTTCTTTCCCACTAAGAAGACAAAATCCCCAAGGATCCAGATTCTTGGGTTTCAACTACGAGATGGAGAGACTCTTCGTCAAGCTTGGGAATGATACAAGAAGCTACTCAGAGACTTCCCACATCATTGTCAACTGATGAGGTGTTGGGTCACACTTTCGTTAATGGGTTGGACGAGGCATCAAAGATGAATATTGACTCAGCATATGGAGGTAGTAGCATGACAAGACCGTATAGTGATATCCAGATCCTGCTAAACAATTTTACTGCTAATGATAATAACTGGCAAGGAGATTGGGAACCACGAAGAGCACTTAAACAAAAGGCAGTAGGTATGATTGAGCTTAATGATTTTTCAGCCATGAGGGCAGATATAGCAAGATTAGCAAATCAGATTGACAGAATGACAATGCACCAAGCACAATAGATGCAGCATGTGCAACAGATGTCTACTTGCTTCGAGTTATGTGGTGAAGGTTACATAAGTGACATATGCCCCGTGAATCTTGAATCCATCTACAGATCTACTATGCGGGGAAACAAGCTAGAGGGCCGATGAATCAAAATGCTCAATATGGTAACACACACAATCCGAATTGGAGGAATCATCCTAACTTCTCCTGGGATGGAAATTAGAATATCAGGCCTCAAGATAATTACAATCAGCCACCTAAAGCCCCATAGCAAGAAGAAGAGAGTTAGACTGACATGATGAAAAAGCTCTTGCTAGGCAATCAGAAAGTTATGGCTGAGAATCGACAATTGCACACAAAGTTCAGAAATATAGAGAGGCAGTTTGGGCAAATGGCTAACACTCAGAATACTAGACCTACTGGATCTCTCCCAAGTGATACAAAGAAAATTCCTCAAGTCAATGCAGTGACATTGAGAAATGATAGAGAGTTGGTAGAAACGCCTTAGAAGAAAAAGGAGCAGTCTAGGCTCGAAGAAAAAAGAGTGCCAAAACTTGTAGAGGCAGATGAGAGAAACAAAACAGAGTCTGAGCACATATCAGAGAGGGTGCCACCCCTTTTTCCTCAACGATTGAGAAAGAAGAATGATGACCACATGTTTCACAAATTTCTAAATATGCTGAAGCAGATACACGTGAACATCCCTTTGGTAGACATGCTCCGTGAGGTACCAAAATATGCAAAATATATTAAGGATATAGTGGCAATTAAGAGGAGGTTAACTGAGTTTGAGAACGTCGCACTTACTGAGGAGTTCACTTCCAGGATTCAACAAAAGCTTAAGGATCCGGGTAGTTTTACCATCCCCGTGAGGATTGGGGGAAATTGATGTGGGTAGAGCCTTGTGTGATTTAGGTGCAAATATCAATCTGATGCCGTTGTCAGTGTTCATACAATTGGGCTTAGGAGCTCCGAGACTCACCACGGTGATGCTACAGTTAGCTGATAGATCTTATAATTGTCCTGAGGGGGTAATTGAGGACGTCTTGCTGCAAATTTTGGAAGTTTATTTTCCCTGCAAATTTTATCATCTTGGACTACGAGGCTGATGAGTTAGTTCCTATCATCTTGGGACGACCTCTCTTGGCCACTGGAGATGCAATTATCAAAGTCTCAAAAGGTAAGATGATCTTGAGGGTGGAAAATAAAGAAGCGGTCTTCAATGTATATCGAGCTACTTAGTTGCCTCGTCATTACGAGGACCTGGCCATTATTTCTGTGGTGGAGATAAATGAACCAGCCATAGAGCCAAGTGTGTTTAAAGAAGATGCACTAGAAAAGGCATTGATGTTGTTCAATCACTTGGAAGAAGTGGTTGAGTAGATGTTGCAAATTCTGGATGCATCTCGTGAATACATAAGAGAAGGATCCCAGTTTGAGCCTCTGGATAGGCCGATCAGCCCGCCCCCTAAACCCTCAGTTGAGGAGGCCCCAAAACTAAAACTTAAACCCTTACCATCTCATATTCATTATGCATATTTGGGAAGTTCTAACATGTTACCTGTGATTGTTTCTTCTCATTTGTCTAAATTGCAGGAAGAAAAGCTCTTAAGAGTGCTGAGGGAGCACAAGCATGCCATTGGTTGGACAATATCTGACATAAAGGGTATTAGCCCTGCATTCTGCATGCACAAAATACTCATGGATGAGGGACACAAGCCTAGTGTGGAATATCAACGCCGCCTAAATCCAATCATGAAAGATGTGGTAAGAAAATAAGTGATTAAGTGGCTCGATGCAGGTATAGTATTTCCTATCTCCGACAGTAAGTGGGTAAGCCATGTTCAAGGTGTACCTAAAAAGAGGGGTATGACTGTTGTAGTGAATGAACAAAATAAATTAATCCCAACTAGGACTATGACTAGTTGGCGAATATGCATAGATTATAGAAAGTTGGATAATGCTACACGAAAAGATCACTTCCCTCTCCACTTCATTGATCAAATGCTTGACAAGTTAGCCGGACAAGAATACTATTATTTCCTTGAGGCTATTCGGGGTATAATCAGATTGTTATTGCCCTGGAAGATCAAGAAAAGACCACTTTTACATTCCCTTATGACACTTATGCATTTAAGAGAATGCCATTCGGGTTGTGTAATGCACCTGTGACTTTTCAAAGGTGTATGATGGCTATTTTCACAGATATGGTGGAACGGTTTGTGGAGGTCTTTATGGATGATTTTGTTGTGTTTGGTCCTTCTTTTGATGAATGCTTGACCAATCTTGCTAAAGTGCTTGCTAGGTGCGAGGAGACTAATCTGGTACTGAATTGGGAAAAGTATCAATTTATGGTACTTGAAGGTATACTGCTGGGGCACAAGGTGTCCAAAGATGGACTGGAAGTTGACAAGGCTAAGGTGGAAGCAACTGAAAAGTTTCCACCACCAATCTCAGTGAAAGGAGTTAGGAGTTTTCTGGGACATGCAGGTTTTTATCGTCGATTTATAAAGGATTTCTCAAAAAATTTCTCTCCTTTGTGCAAGTTGTTAGAGAAGGATGTGTCATTCAAGTTTGACGATGCTTGTCTGAAAGCATTCGAGGAGCTGAAAAAGAAGTTAGTGAGTGCACCAATCATAGTGGCTCCTGAATGGAACGAGCCATTTGAGCTGATGTGTGACGCTAGTGATGGTGCCATTGGGGCCGTATTGGGCCAGAGGAGGAGCAAAATATTTCACTCCATTTACTATGCAAGCAAGACTCTCACTCATGCTCATGCTCAAAGAAATTATACTGTGACAGAAAAGGAGTTGCTTGCTGTAGTGTGGGCGTTCGATAATTAACGGGCCTATTTGGTTGGCACCAAAGTCATCGTCTACACAGACCATGCAACCATCGAGTATTTGTTTGAAAAGAAAGATGCTAAACCAAGGCTAATCCATTGGGTTTTACGCTTGCAGGAATTTGACTTGGAGATCCGAGACCATAAAGGGACAGAGAATCAAGTGGTTGATCACTTCTCCAGGTTAGAAACTCGGAATCATATAGCTGAGGGAGATGTTATCAAGGAAACCTTCCCGGATGAGCAATTGTTGGCCGTTACTACTGGGAGGTACCATGGTATGCAGATTCTGCAAACTACCTAGCAAGTGGAGAAATGTCGTCTGACCTTGAACCCTATGCTAAAAGGAAGTTCTTGCGAGATGTGAGATCATATATGGGATGAGCCGTTTTTGTTCAAATCTTATACTGATAAGTTAATGAGAAAATGTGTGCCTGAATCTGAAATAAATGCTATCTTACATGGATGTCATGCGTAGCCTTATGGTGGTCATCATGCGGGTGACAAAACAGCGGCTAAGGTGTTCCAATTGGGTTTCTATTGGCCTAGGGTGTTTAAAGATGCCCATGAGTTCGTGAGGAGGTGTGATAGGTGCTAGAGAACAGGAACAATTACGAAAAGGCATGAGATGCCATTGCATGGTATTATGGAGGTTGAAATTTTTAATGTGTGCGGAATTGATTTTATGGGTTCGTTTCCCTCATCCAGTGGGTGTAAGTATATTTTGGTGGCCGTTGACTATGTGTCGAAGTGGGTGGAGGCCATTGCTCTTCCTACCAATGATGCCAAGGTTGTGGTCAACTTTGTGAAAAGCATATCTTTACAAGGTTCGGCACCCCGAGAGTGATGATAAGTGATGAGGGCACCCATTTCTGTAACAAGCTATTGGATAATGGCTTAGAGAAATACGGGGTCAAACATAAGGTTGCAACCGCTTACCATCCTCAGACTAGTGGAAGGGTTGAAGTCTCAAATAAAAGTAGATTACGGAGAAGACGGTTAGTACAAGTAGGAAAGATTGGGCTGGAAGGCTTGATGATGCTCTATGGGCATACCGGACCGCCTACAAAACTCCAATAGGAACCTCCCCTTACAAGCTGGTTTATGGAAGGCATGCCATTTACCGGTGGAACTTGAGCACAAGGCCTATTGGGCGATAAAGAAGCTGAACTTTGATGCAGAATTAGCGGGTAGAAAGCGGTTGATGCAATTGAACGAGCTTGATGAGTTTCACTTGCACGCGTATAAGAATGCCAAGTTATATATAGAAAACACCAAGCGCTGGCATGATAAGCATATCCATCATCGCGAGTTCGAACCGGGCCAATTGGTTCTCTTGTTCAATTCGAGGTTGGGACTCTTTCTGGGGAAACTCAAATCGAGATGGTCGGGCCCGTCTGAGGTGGTGAGAGTCACTCCACATGGTGCAATTGAGTTGCGCGTCTTAGGTGGTAAGAGAACGTTCTTAGTGAACGGACAAAGAGTAAAGCACTATTATAGAGGTGACTTTGATCGTCAGAAGTCAAAGGTGTTACTTGCTAATGATTAGACGATATTCTGTGTCGTGTCGCGACGTTAATCAGGAGCTTGTTGGGAGGCAACCTAGCTTTACTGCTTTCTTTTATTTTTGTTATTATTATTATATTATTTTTGTAGTATTTGTTTTGATTTTGTAGGATTACTAGCATAGAAGGCAAAACCATTGGAAGAGTACAAAAGCGAGCTAGATGGTGAGAACTAAGTGTGGGGTGCCCACACAAAGGACCATCCTTGGGGAAAGTGTGAGTACCTGTGAGCCGCTATTGCTTCAGGCTTTGGCCTTTCAGGGAGTTTCTTGTCCATCCTCGTTATTGTTTTGTTTTATTTGTGCATTGGAGACATTGCACTCCTTTAAGTGTGGGATGGGAGAATTTCTCTAGATAATTAGTAGTAGTGTGTTAGAATAATGTTAACTTTCTATTTTTGTTTTCGTAGTTGTGTAGTATTTTAGTAGCTCCTAAGAAAAACCGGGAAAAAAAATTTAGAAAATTGGGACTTTTCCAGACGATGGATCTCCTAGACAGTTTTCTTGAGAGATTTAAGTCTAAAGAAAAAGGACAAAAAGATTTTCTTTGTAGGTAGTGTAGTAATTCCCCTTGGTTTTTCTTTGTGTCGCGGTTCTTTTTCAAGGGTTTTGTTTGAACCAGGTGTAGTTACTTTTATTTTTTAGGAGTAGGAGCCATGGTGTTGTGATTGGAAATTGAAGCAATATCTCTTGACTTTGTTATGCCTTGAGAATAGTGAGTACTTTGGTCATGACGCTTATGCTCAGTTTTTGACTCTTGTATTAGTGCCTTAAATTGTATGATCATAACTTTGCTTAACTGCTTTGACTAGAGTGTCTTAATGAGTCCAATCCTGAGTGAGTTATGTGAAATTTTGTGTGTGAGATTTGTGTGTAAATTCTGTGCATTGCATTTGATGTCTGGAACTTGCCCTGTGTGTTTGCGAAGCGAAATAGTAGTTTTGTTCAGTCTTGGAAGTGATATAGGTGTTTCTTTGTTGAACCAGTTATATGTTTTACCCGCCTAATTGTTATGTACCGTAGTTAACTCCTTTGAGCATGTAATCATGTTTCTTTGGCAACCACATTACAAGAATTACCCATTTGTTTAAATTAACCATCTATTTGAACCATTTCACCTCTCATGAGAACTTGAATTGTTATGAACTTTGTAAAAGTTATAGTGTGAGGTGGTTGATTTGACTATTGAGTGGAGCTAATAAAATAAGAAGAAAAATGCACTGTTTTGAAAAAGTAAGAGCCACTTGAATTGAAAAAAAAAGAAAAAACGGTTGTATTACTGTACAAATATTCCTTGATAGTGGTAACTCTTGATGTAGTTGTGCTTAAAGAAGTATGCAATTAATGTATATTATGTGAAGGTGGAGTTATGGTTTGACATAAGTGTGGGGTTTTGAAAGGTAAAATGTATGTATTAAAGTGCTTAGGGAGGTGTAGTCACTCTTATATCAAAATGTATCCTACCCGTCCCGCATCCTACATCACAACCAATTAAAGTTCTACTTGATCCTAGACTGAATGAGCTCGATTAGAACACTACGGGCAAGTCTATGGTGCATCTTGTGTGGCATATGAATGTTATTTCTGAGAGTGAGTGAATTCTTTCTATCTTGAGTTCCTAAGTATTCTTAAATTTTATTGTGTGTGGAACTACTCTATTTTATTGTGTGAGGGCACTTAATTCATGAAGGAGATGTAGTGTCATTGACCTCCATGTTAGAGTAAGTGAATGAGTTGTGAATAATGTGTGGTACTTGTGAGTCAAATCTTGAGGTGAAGATGTTACGCTCTTGTGCTTAGTTATTTTAAATATTCTTGGTGTGATGAGTTAGGAGAATTGATTAAAAAGGTCGTGTGTATATAAAGTGTAGTTTGATTGCTCGAGGACGAGCAACGGTTTAAGTGTGGGGTGTTGATGATAGGCTAAATATAACGACCCGGCCGGTTGTTTTGAGAATTAACGCCCCGATCCCCTATTAACTACTTCCTCCGTATCTATTTATGTTGTTGTAATTTGCCGGGATGGTTCATCTTGAGTTTCGGAGTGTTTTGGGACACTTAGTCCCTAAACGAGAGCTTAAGTCTTAGAATTTGGACCGTAGACGGAGCAAGGTGAAGACGATTCCGGAATGGAGTTTTCGTCGATTTTGTTAGCTCCGTTGGGTGATTTCGGGCTTAGGGGCGTGTCCGGATCGTATTTTGGAGGTCGGTAGCTTATTTAGGCTTGAAATGGCGAAAGTCGAATTTTTGGAGTTTCGGGCCGATAGATAAATTTTGATATCGGGGTCGGAATCCGATTCCGAAAGTTGGAATAGGTCTGTAGCGTTGATTATGACTTGTGTGCAAAGTTTGGGGTCAATCGGACATGGTTTGGTTGGTTTCGGCATCAGTTGTAGAATTTTGGAAATTCAAGTTCATAAAGTTTGGATTGGAGGGTGATTCGTGGTTTTAGCGTTGTTTGATGTGATTTGAGGGCTCGACTAAGTTTGTATGGTATTTTAGGATTGGTTGGTATGTTTGGTTGAGGTCCCGGGGGCCTCGGTGAGTTTCAGATGCTTAACGGATGAGAATTTGGACTTAGGCAAATTTTCTGAAGTGCTGAACCTGTTGTTTTCGCACCTGCGGATTTTGGACCGCAGGTGCGATGCCGCAAAAGAGGATTTGGACTTGTGCATCAGGGACCACAGATGCGGCTGGGGAACCGCAGATGCATAACCGGAGATGCAGCCCCAGCCCGGATAAATGACTTTCGCACCTGCGATGCTTTTCGCAGGTGCGGGACCGCAGATGCGACCCCATGACCGCAGATGCTGTAATCGCTGGGCAGAAATAGGAAAATTTTGAGGGTTTGAAGTTCATAACATCAAATTTGATTTTTAGCTCGGGAGAAGGCGATTGTGAGAATTTTGAAGAGGAAATCAGTGGGTAACGATTCCTAACCCAATTTCGTTTATATTTCATCAATCTCTAGTAATTTTCTCAATCTAATCAAGGAATTTGAGTGGAAAATGGGAATTTGGGAAAAAGTTCCCTAATCGAGTTTTTGGGTGTTGATAGGGTTTTAGGTGTCGGAATTGAATGGACGAGTGATCTCGTGAGTGAATGGGTGTTCTAAATTGGTAACTTTTACCCGATTCCGAGACGTGGGCCCAAGGAAGATTTTTGGGCGTTTTCCCATTTTCTCGCCTTAGCTTTAATTTCTTTAGCTAAATTAGTTGCTTGTAGCTATATTTACGTTATGTAATTCATTTGATTAGATTTGGGCCACTCGGAGTTGGATACTCGTGGCAAGAGCGTGATATCGGATTGACTTTTGAGCTGGTTCGAGGTAAGTGGCTTGCCTAACCTTGTATGAGGGGACTCCCCTTAGGATTTTGGTACTGTTGTTATATGAATGTCGTGTACGTGGGGTGACGAGTGCGTACACGTGCTAATTGTTGAAAAACCCCATTTTCATTAAGTAAATATCTATGTTCCCCCCCCCCCCCCCCTTGAATTGAGAAAATACTAGTTCATGTATCCTCCTGCTTAGCTTAGGAAAGCATGCTTACATGCCTTAACTGTTTTATCTATTTTAACTGCTTACTTGGATTCTGTGTAGCATGTTTAGGGTAGGAATTACCTGTTTCTTTGATACGAACTTGAATAGAACTGTAGACTTTCTGGCTGAGACTGTTGTGTATATTGATTTGGTTGTGTATTTACTTTGGGACTACGGAACGGTATTCCGGGAGATCCCCCTACATGTTTACTTTGGGACTACGGAACGGTATTTCGAGAGATCTCCCTACACATTTATATTTGGGACTAGGGGACGGTATCCCGGGAGATTCCGCTGCACATTTACGATTTAGACTATGGGACGATATCCCGGGAGATCTCTGTACATTTACGTTTTGGACTACGGGACGTTATCCTGGGAGATCCCCTGTTACTATCTATGTGTACTGAGTTGTTTCTTTCTGTGATTTCCATTTTTCATTGACTGTTGGTATTTAAACTATATTGTCATATTTCATACTGTTTTACCTTGTTATATATGTATAACCGGTAGGGCCCTGACCTGATCTCGTCACTACTCGACAGAGGTTAAGTTTGACACTTACAGGGTACCGCCGTGGTATACTCATGCCCTTTCAAGCACATATTTTCGTGTGTAGATCCAGGTTCTTCTGCTCAGCCATACTATCCGTGAGGCGAGGCGATCCAGAGACTTCGAGGTATATCTGCCGCGTCCGCAAACCTATAAGTCCCTCTTTATTCTCCCTTCAATTATAGACTTCTTGTATTTTTCTTCGTTTAGACTTCTGGAGTTAGAACAATATGTACTTCTTTAGCTTGTGATTCATGAGATTTCGGGTTTTGGGAGTGCTATGTTCAGTTTTAGAGTAGAACTAAAGAGAGCTTGTTTCTGAATGCGTGGCTCGGAAAAAGATTTCGCGGTTAGGATAGGAATATACCTAACAGTCTTGCGTAATTAAATACCGTATTATATTCGTTAATGATAGACTCAATACCATAGGAATATAGGATTGATATATTGTGGACATGCGAGTAGTATTGTGGGAACATGCTATTCATATAAATTATCTGGTTAATTAGCAACCATAGATAATCCGGATTAACAAGTGTGATTATTGAACTTAATAGGATTGATAAACCAATCACAACCCTGGAATCTTCATCTCCTCTGAACTAAACTCTAATCATACACATTTGCATTCTTGTTAAATTAGTTGTTACTTGTTTAATTTCCGCAATAGTAGATTAAAGAAAAACATCACTCTTGATTATCTTGGATAACTAATTGATTTTAGTTTGCTTAGTTAACGATCAATTTAAATCTCTGTGGGTTCGACATCCGACTTCCGAGTCACTTTATTAGTTAACGACCACGTAAACTTGCATATGTGTTTGGTCGCAACAATTAGTAAAAAAATTCATCCTTAAATGCTTATAGGTCCAGAAATCTATAATGTTCTTGCCGTGCAACAATACAGATTCAAAAGCCATTGAAAAGTTCCTCAGTAGTTTTCAAATTGAAACCTTATCACCTGGTGTCTACTTTTTTTTTACTCGACCACTTCTTGGATCATTGAGAGTATATAAATTGAATTCACAAGACATACAGGATGCTTTAAATTGAAGTACTTACACGAAGAATTAAGCCGTATTTATGAATAAAATCTCGTCTACTGTACGTTTTACAATTCGCACTATAACATTTTTGGCCTATAGCCACACTAATTATAGACAACACTCGAAAAGTGTTGCCAAAATTAGCTATAGATGCGCTTATAAAGCGTGGTCTTTGACTTGAGTCTGTGACCACGATGTTCAAGGCCACACTTAAAAAGCGTGCTAGTATAATATAAAGATAACACTTCTTAAGTGTTGCCAATTTATAAATTATTTGACAATACTTATTAATTATAATACAACGTTTTTGAAGAGTTATTAAATTCTAATACAAAATGTAATACTTTACCAGCGTAACCTAAAAATTTATTATAAAAATATTTCTCTCAAAATTTCCCCCCAAATATACGGTTAATGAAAATATTTCCCTCCCAATACCGCATATCAAACCCTTTCCCAATTCTTTTCTATTACTTCCTTTCCGCCTAGCTTGTTGACTCCCAACAAATTGCATAAACTAACTTTGTTGCTTCGTTTTCGCCTTGCTGCTTCTTCCAGTCAGTACTCTAGCGAATCTCCATCGTTTCTTTACTGAGTATTTCTTTTACTCAAAGATTTCTCCCTTTTTTTTCGATTTCTGGTGGAAAAATAATCTTCTATTATGTATATACCTGGGTATGTTGGTATAGTCTTCATATTATACTCAATATTTTTAACTTTTTTCTAATTTCAGATTCTTGGGCTGAAAAGAAGTAATTTTTATTTTGTTTATTTTTGGGTATCAAAGTTTTAGTTTTTTACAAATTTCAGATTCCTGGGTTGAAAAAGAGTAATCTTTTCTATTTGATTTTTGATATCTTTGAATGATGTTCCTTCTTATATTTAAAGTTTTAATTTGTCTAGCTTCTTATTGAATTTTTTTTTGGGCCCATAGAAGTGAATTTTGGGGCCGATATCAATGAATTTTTTTTTTTTCAATATTACTAGGTATCTTTGTATTGTCTTTATTTTATACTCAAAATTTTTAATTTTTTCAATTTCAGATTATAGGGCTTAAATAAGTAATTTTTTTGTTTAATTTTTGGCTATCAAAGTTTTTAGTTTTATCCTTGTTTTATATTCTTGAGTTGAAAAATAAGTTATCGTTTTGTTTGATTTTGGGTGTCAAAGCTTTAATCGGTTTTTGATGTATACGTTTACTGTGATTTGGATTCGATCTAATTATGCTGAAAAGTTTCACAAGTAGGGCGTTATTTAGCTTGAGTTTGTGATTTAAAAATATTTTGAAATTGCTTCTGAATTTTGTGGTTATTTTGACTTAATTTCAGTTGTACAACCACTTTGTTTTACGTTTTACTTGAATTATTGTGCGAGAATTTTGTGAAACAGATCTAGAGTTACTTTGACCAAATAAGCATGGTTGATATGATTTTTTGGCTTGCTCATTATCTTTGTGGTGAGACTTCATATTTGAAGGTTTTATTTAGTGATTGACCCTCTGAGCAATTTGATTGTCAAAATGAGCTAAAATATTCATGTAAAATGATTATCTTTAGAGTCAAGAGTTCATAATTTGTAGTTATTTATGGATGCAAATTGTTTCACCAAAATATAATGGTGGCAAACTGTTAGAACGTTGTTAAAGATGCTCAATAATAGATTTTCTTATATTTTTTTTATAAAATAAGTTGTTCTGGTTGAGAAAATTCTTCAAATAAAATGTCCTCTGGTCCGTGAATGACTTTTTAATTTAGAAAAACACTCCTCTTGAATGCCTTTCTTGTTTATTGGTGTGTGTTCTTTCCTTCTGAGCTGCAAATGTTTGTGACTTGCCGAGACATTTAACTGCATGTTAGTTGATAGGATGTTGCAAAGACTGCATGCCTGAATTATTTATGTACTCCTTGCTTCTCAACTATGACGACCGTCCTGAACATTCTAATGCTTAATGCTACAAGTCAAACTTAGTGAATCATGTCATCAGATTCCTATAATTTGTAGGCTAATGTAAATATTTATTTATTTTTATGGATTTTCGTCTTCCAAAAGGTGTCGTATTTTGGTTAATTGTGTCTGATCCCTTTTCTTTTTAATGTTGTGGTTCATGTTCTTCATCTTGCTCAGTTTGTTGTGTCTACAAAGATGCAAAGAAGATGATTCGATCTCGTAGTTATTTCTTTCGTCTAATGGTCCTAAACGTACAATGGAGATGATTCGATCTCGTAGTTCTTTTTGTCAGCTAGTGTTAGGTAGTCTAGATTACTCATACCGGTAGTGTTAGTACGTACTATCGCATTTGGTTGGTAGTAGGCTTATTTGGTAGTGGATTGGAGTTGAGACTCCATTAAAACATCTGAGGTTGATTTTGTATTACTCGAACATAAGTTCAGGCAGCCAGCTCTGGTAGACTAGTACAATTAATAGTAAGACGGAGAAAAACTATTTATAAATGTCTATATCTCACTCTTGGGTGCGGCTCTTCCCCGGACCCTACGTGAACGCGGGATGCTTTTTGCACGGGGCTACCCTGCACTTCAGTATTACATACTTCATGAGTACTGAACAGTATGTGATGTTTTGGGACATTTTAGAGTACTATGTACTACCTATCTAGGAACACAACTCATGAACGAAGTATCTTGACAATCAAATGACAGTCTAACCAGTGCTAATCCAAATTAGTCGGGATAATGAATTCCGGATACCGAATGCCAAAATAGCAGACAGTATAGGCACAAAATAAGAATCCAGGGTACCTATTTCAACTTTTTTTTAATGCCGCACAGGGTAATTTTCACCTCTGTTTATGAAGCCAAGAAATGACTACTAAATGTTCACTTTACATTACCTAAGACTTTGCCTGCAACTGAAAACCATTATATACAGCAGACTGATTTTCCTCTCTGAATTCTGATGTAGTTAGTTCATTTTGTTAGGGTTGGATGAAGACATAGATCCAGCTTTGGGAACATAACTAGCTCAGGTTACCTAGATGATAGTTACAAGAAAGGACAAAAGTCTAGAGATCAGCCCCATTAGTTTTCTTGCCCAAACTTTCATTGAGATTCCTCACATCTCTTCCTAAAATATCCTTCCTTTTTACAATTTAGAATCCAGTAAACATATAAGATAGAAGCGGAGCCTTGGCGTAATTGGTAAAGTTGCTGCCATGTGATTAGGAGGTCACGAGTTCGAACCGTGGAAACAACACATAGCGGGAGCTTAGTGCACCGGACTTCCCTTTTTAAACATATAAGATAACCACTTCTACAGTTTTACTCATTTTACATCAGAATTGCAGTCTAAGGGAGTTTAGATTTTTAATAGTACCTTCATAAACATGCATTTTCAATTACATTGTTTACTCATTCTTTCCACTTTGATTTTCAAAATAGATGGGATTGCTTTCTTTTTCTTATTACAAGGGATCATATTCCTACAAACTTTTGTACTATAATACATTAGTAGAATATAAACAACCAGAAATTCTCACCATTACTCGGTATAAAAATGAGACGAGCAGTTGATATTTTTAAAACGAAAACCTATACTGTTAAGTACTTCAGAACAAGTCCTCTCAGCTTTTCCATGTACTCTGCTGCTTGTTTCTGCATTTCCAAAGAAATATTAGTTCAAAGTTAGACAATCGTAGTCAAAGCTTTTGTACATATCGATCAATACTTTCTACTACAAAATGAGGCATTCAAAATTTACGGTGATGGTTTTGATATGTAGCCATTACCAAGTATCAAACTTGAAATAAGTGAAAAAAATTCCGGACAAAGGGTGTTCAATATATGTTATATACCTCTAAACATTAATATTTTACCAATATACACAGTGTAACTTTTTGACGAAGAGTGATCAATTAACCACCCCTAGGAGAATGTAGCTTCGCCCCTTGGCGGGAGTGCTAGGAGGATGTTGGCCCAAGATTCCCCACATATATTTTTCAGTAAGATAATTCAGCAAAACTTTAAATGAATCAAAATCTTTCCGCACACTATCAACCTCATCAATCAATCTTTTATATAATTGAAGTTTAGAAGTACACTTTTCCAAATGCATTAGACTCTCCAATAACCCAATTATAATGCTCTTTTTTTCTTCTTTTCTTTACAGGTTATGTAGGCACAGCAGTTTTGATTTATGGTGTGTGCAAGCTCTTATCTCCAGGTTTCATACTCCAAAAGTCTTGTAAATTTTCCTTGTATTGTTTCATCTTTTTTACTTCATAGGTCTTAACCCTATCCTAACTTGTAATTGCTGTTGTGTGTTTCGTGCATGAGATGAGCTCAATGAGCTAAAATCCTTGCTCATCAAGACAATAGCTTTCTATAGAGTAATCAGTTTTGCACATCAATTATTTTGCCAATGACTGCATTAAGGACCAATCTCCAAACTAGATAAACATTACTCCTAAAAGAAAAACTTCTTCTGAAGCAATTCTCAATCTAATATTGACCATATTCAACTAGTACATAAGCTGATACACAGTAAGCATATAGGTAATTATAATATTCAATTTAATTTAGGGCTGTTGTTTTTCTCCTATTAGCAAAGAACAGCACATTCCAAAGGAATAATAGCCAAATGTGAAGATAGCATAACCAGTTAAGTTTGAACTAAAAACACATTTTTCACTGGAGTTACGTGGAGTGCAATTGGACAAATCAGACTAATAAATTTTCTGCTCTTCTGTATATCTGTAATTTGTAGACGAGGGAGATTTCACTGGAAATCATCCAAAAAGATATGGTGGAGAGACTATCAGACCCCAGAAAAGAGTTGAGTGAAGAAAAAACAATGAACTTTATCATAATTACTCTGATCAAAGATGAACTACCAAAGAAATGATAGGAATGGAGATTTGCCTCTTTTTTTTTTTTTTGATTTGCACCGGGTGTCCGAGTCTCTAAGAGCCCCGACTAATCCCGGGGGTGCACAGGCCCTCGGCAAGGAGTTTCCCGCAAGTGCACCACGGTTAATTCAGGTTTTACCCAGTCCGATGGCCCTCAGAAAAATAATCTTATTTTCGTATAATTTCTAGGTAAATTTGTAAGTCAAACACACGCGGATCCATATGTAGTTGTGAAAATATATGAAATTCTTCTATGAATCTGTGAAAGGTATAAAAAAGAAAGCAAAAATAAGAAAAGAATAAGCTAGAAAAAGAGGAGGAAAAAAGAAAGAAAGTGGGCTTGGAACAAATGCATACAGAGAAAGATAGATGGATCTCAATGGTAGTTTGGACGATTTAGCTTGTTCCAATATTTGAACACAAATGCTAGATAAAATGGTGTGTCACCAGTAGGTTTTCATACAACTCGGATCTACTGGTGATGCACCATTTTATCTAGCATTTGTAAAGTCTTTGTTTGTACTCAAGTATTTAACTCTTTTTTTTTCTAATTTCATATTCTTATGCTGAAAAAAGAGTAATTATATAATATATATATACATATTCTAATTTCATATTCTTATGCTCAATATACTATACTTTGATGAAGTATACATATCTTGAG